GTAACAATATTTAATTCTTACAGAATTTCTTATGTTAGCTTCTACTCTCCCTGGCTATAAATAAAGACTATTAAGACTTACTCATTCCTTCAACTGACATAACCGAGGTGTTATTATTTTTCTAACAATCTGCTACCTACTGGAGGACAAATCATCCTTTATTCCCCTCATCTTCACTTTCCTTCATCACAGACAAATTATTCGGACTTTGCTTCATTGATCATCTCTTCTTCCTGTTATAATATTTTATGATTGCATGTGGATATTTTGCATCCACCTGAAAGCTTAGCGCCTAAATCTGGACAAAGTATTTTACCTGAGGGCTTCTAATTATTTCATTGTACTCATTAGCGATCTTCCAAGCCTTAATTCCTCTTAGAACATTGCCAAACAGTGCTTGTGGTCTGCTATAAAGCCCCAGGCATCCCCAGTCTGCCTCTGTTGTATCAGTTATTCCGCACTTTGCATTTGTGGAGGGTCTGCTCCTTTTATTTCTGCGGTGATCTATCATTTTCTTTCTGGGATTTATGAAGTTATGTGCTCATTCTTGAAACTCTTTTTCAGGTCCACCAGCTAAGTCACTGCCCTCCACTAGGAGGAATTTCCAGTGACCAACTGCACTTCTTCTGAGCAACTTCAAAGTGTTCAACACTGATCGTAGTATTGCACTAAAATGAACCTCTGTTTTTATACTATGACATAAAAGGTCATCCTATTCTACCACGACCATCATGAAGACCTCAAGAAAATAGTTTCTAAAACTTTATTTTTTAACTAAATTATTTTAAACTGTTTTGCAGTACCCTCTTTTTACTCACTTTTATGTTTGTCTTTGAAACCCAACTGAGAATGGGGCTCCTCTGTGTGGCAGGCACTGCCCAAAGAAAGAATATTAATCCTACAAAGCTGCGCAAGCAGTGTGCTTCGGAAGTGCACAGGATAGAGAAATGGTGTACAAAACAAAGGAACAGCAAAAGAAAGCATAATGGTTTTATGTTGAGGGAGAGAATGGCACAATCAGGGAAAAATGAAGTCAACAGTGGCTATATGAGCAGAGCATGGCACAGGAAAATTTAAAGGGACAGGAGTTGAAGGAAAGTGAGCTGAAGAGAATATGAAAGAAGGAATGGAGAAAAAGCAGGTGACCTGCAAAGACAGGACAGATGAAGTCTATTTAAAACTGCAGAATTCTCAGAATGCCTGAGGCTTTTTGCCTTCATATTCCTGCAGCTACGCCTGCCTGCTGGTGTCTGCAGACAGAAAACTGCTTCACTGACCACTTTAGTCTCTCTACACGTTCTCATCTCAGCATTTCTGAACACAGATAACACAAAACACCTGCTAAATAGTACTGACCTCACCTATAGGCGTCCTTCTAGTTTTGTATTACAGAGCCTCAAACATAACTAGTAGGAAAGACAATTGAAAAGTCTATATGCTTTGGGAGGGACAAGAATCATCCATCTGATCCGGAACTCATCAGGAGAGCATGGAATGCTTCTGTATGTTTATGGAAATCACGCTTGATTAGGTTTATCTACTCCTTATTGTACTGCTATCTGCCTGGTCTTAAAAGAACTAACTTCTGTGCAGAGCATAATGATCCTGGGAGGGGTACAGATAGAGCCGGGCTGGAACAGCTCCCAGCAACCAAGGTCAGACAATAGCTGAATACAACAGTAGTTGCAGGCAGAATGAAAGGCGTTCTTACCACAAAACAAAGAGGTCGAGTGAAAAGTGAGCAGGAAATACAAGTGCCAACTCAGTCAGTCTTTAAAAATTAGAGGGGAAAAAAGCTCCTCCCTAAGCAGGAACTCAAGGGAGCTTGCCTGCAGAAGGCAGCAACTTTGAGGTTTTGGGGCTAAACAAGAGGAACATCACAAAGATCAGGGAGAAACCTCCCCAGTTTAGACAGGAAAGTTCGGGAGCACAGATCTGAAAATCTATGAATCTTGTGGTGTGATCAGACAATAAGGTCAGTGTTTGCTAGTAGCAGAGCCTTGCACATTGTTTGGGCTAAGTAAACCAAAGAGCAGTTATTTTTAGCCCTTGAAGAGTGTCTCGGTTACTGCAAATATGAAGGGGAAAGCTAGAATACACCCAAACTGTGGGAAAGGATAACCTTAACCTATCCAGAACCTCCAGGAGAGCAAGTTCCTGTGGGATATTTACCACAGATAATAAGGGTATTTCAAGGATTTTGGTTTTTAAGCAAAAGAGAACTTTTCAGAAGGGCTGCCAGACTGACAATGCAAAAAAAGGCCAAAGGAGAATGGCTTTTTTTTGTGTGTGTTCCTGGATTAGAGGAGATATTAAAAACACAAGGAGTCACTGATGGAATCCTAAACATAAATGGGTTCTAAGCCAGCAGAGTGCCAGTTAAAGATCTAATGGCTCTGTGACAGTGATACATTTAATTTTATATTCAAGGCATTAACACTGGTTTACGCCATTATTGTGCAATGAGACACATTTTAAAAGTGTATCTGAAATCCCAGGAGGGCAGGTAAAATGAGTTTTCCAAATTATTACCTGAAGATGGTTCAAAATATTTGTACATTTTATAAAGAAGAAAAACGTGTTGAAAATACATTGTTTGAAGGTTAGCCCCAGGTAAGAAAACTGGAGAGGAAGCCTATGCCTTAGGAGTCACAGTGTCACAAACATGGTATCAGTGACTCTTATTTCACAGAATCACATGTGGGTTTGAAGGGACTTTTGAGATTATCTAGCTCTAGCAGCCTGCCTGTGGCACCTTCCACTAGACCAGGTTGCTCAAAGCCCCGTCCAACCTGGCCTTGAACACTGCAAGGATGGGACAGCCACAGCTTCTCTGGGCAACCTGTGCCAATGTCTCACCATGCTCATAGTGTAGATTTTTTTCCTAATACCTAATCCAAATCTTCCCTCTGTCAATTTAAATCCATTCCCCTTGTCTTATCACTACATGTCCTTGTAAAAGTTCCCTCTCCAGATTTCTTGTAGGCCCCCTTTAGGTATTGAAAGACTTACAAGGTTTCCCCTCAGCCTATTTCCTGATAAAAGCTTTTTGTTTTTTTTTTTCCACAATTTAATCAATTTATATGCTTTACAATAGCAAGTTATCTCCAGAAAGTAATTTATTTCTTAAAAAATAAAATACATTTAAGTCATAGTGTTTCAGCCTGCCTGCATAGCACCCTAAGCCTTAGCTGTAAACTAGCATCTAAGGCAGGGCATGAGAATTGCAGCTTTTAGGTTCACTCTAACTGGCTTCACTTTTGGAGTTACTGTTGCAATGTAGTACATGATTACTGTACATGACGCAAAACTGCTTGGGAGCCACCATTTACAACCTGTAACTACAGCAGAGCTCGGTACATTCTCTCGAGTCACTTCACACTAGCGCTAATCCCACGTACAAATACACCTCAGAAAGACCAGGCCACAGGGGGAGCCGCTAGCAAGTCCAGGCTTTATATACACAGAGCCTGGCACACAGCTCCATCTCCCGCCGCAGGCCAGCCTGCAGCCGGCCCTGCCCCGTGAGTCAGCGGCAGAGGCTCCTGCCCGGACGAAAGAGGTAGACAGTTGTGGCGGGACGGGCGCTTCCAGCCCGGCCACGTCTAGTTTGGACCCCCCCCTGGGCCGCCATGCGCAGCCTCATGCCGACGGTGGAACACCACAGTACCCCCGACACCGGAGCAGCCGCCCCACCGCACACGGGCCCGCGTGACGAGAATTCGAACGGCAGGCGCGACACCCACGCGTTCCACAAGGAGCATGCGCGACCCCGCGGCTGTTGGCGAGACGCGCCAGCCCATTGGGCAGTGGCAGTCATGTGACTCACTGCCTAGCCCCTCCCGCCGGCCGTTGAAGGGAGTGCGCATGTGCGATAAGCACCGCGGCGGCCGGCGGCGCTCTGCTGTTTAAACGCGTTTCTTCTCCCCTCGTCCAGGAGCGACAAAATGGCGCTGGCTTGACACCGGGTGAAGCGATACCGGTTAGCCGCGGAGGTTGAGGGCCCGGCCCGGCCGGGGGATGGTGAGAGGGCTCCGAGCCCGGGTATCCTGCGACCACATTCCGTCTCCTACCCGACGCAACCTCTGCCCGGGGAAAGCCGCCTGCTCGGCTCCGCGCCCCTAGCGGGGTGTCCCGTGAGGGTGAGTGTCAGCTGTCCCTTCCTCTCTTTGCTCCTCAGATTGCCCGCCTTGCCCGGGCGCGGAGGTGCACGGGGCTCGTCACTCCAGGGCTGAGGCCGGCTGTCTGCCTGGGTGGGGTAGTTAGGGCCGGCATACCGGTGTCCCTGGAGCTACATCGCGGCCGTTCCCGGTGGGTTGTTGCCTCCCCCCAAGGCGCCTGAACGGGTGCACGTCGCCCCGCTGGTCTGTCCTCCCGGGCCGGCCACGGGCATCGCGTCCGTCAGGAGAGGAGAGAAGAACGCATGTTTGGGATGAGAAGAAGAGAGGGTCTGGCCTCAGTTGTCACCCGCGGGCCGTAAACGGAAGGGCTGCGGGGTGGCAGGGAGGGAGGGAGTTCTCCCTTGGAGCGGCTCCCCGGGGCCTGATTGGCGGTGCTGAGGGGCCGTGGCGTTACGGGCAGTTGCACCGCGGTTGGAAGCAGTAGTACCTCAAAGCGCTTAAAAATCACAGAGCTGCGCTGTAGTGCGTGTGCGGTGTGTGTGTATGGGGGGTGGTGGTGTTGAAATTGGAGTGTTCCAGGAGGCTGCAGCTAGGCCTGTGGTGAGGAAGCGAGCAGGACTTGGTATGTTAAAAGTTGAAAGCCGAAACCCAAAGATTCTCACAGAACAGGAGAAATGTGGCGCAGCTGCCAGGCGGCAGCCCGGCTTCCGCCGCTCTTGCGCACCCGAAACGTCACAGGCGTTTCCTGCTCTCCTGCGCACCCGGGACCGAAAAGCGTCTGCGGCATTCTGCGTCGCCGCATCGCACGCCTCAGGTCTTGCAAGCGTGAGGAGGTAGTAGGGACTTCGGCGGGAGCCCGGCTTAGGTTGGGCGCTCCGGTAGCGCATGTTTTCTAGCCTTACAGGTGATACTGTGAAATGCAAATGGTAAATCGAGTCTTCTTCTCAAACTGCTGCATTAAATAAGGCAGCTGTAGTTCCTAGGTAGATTGGGTAGTTCAGCAAACATCTATATTGTGGTTTTTTTTTATTTTTTTTTTATAGAGCTGTTTCTCAGTATCTCAACCTGTACAGAACATTTGCTACTAAAACTCCTTCAAGATTGTGAATGTCAGGTAGAGGTGATTTTGTGTTGCTTTTTGTTTCACAGGTTAGAAAAGATAATATATGATTCTCTTGCTCCTGCCCTCAGATGTTAGATTCTGTTGTCAGTATTAATGTAGAGCAATTGTGTAAACACACGTGGGTGCAAAGTACTTGGAGGCAAGGCCAACAGGCTTACACCTTTACTATGAGTGGAGAACAGGCTTTGTAGTTAATGTGCATGTCATGCTCAAGTGGCCGGATTGAGAGTGGTAATTTTATTTTCCGTGGAATCCGGTGGTGTAATTCCAGGTTTTACTAGCCTTTGAGCTCTGTCTGCTGCCAGAGAGATGTAGTCTTGTCTTCCTCTTGTTGCAGGTGTTTGTATATCCTTGTGGGAAACTGGACTGGGGAGTCAGTGTGACTTTAAAATAAATATAAGTGGGTTCACCAGTCTGCAGAGAGTCAGGCAGGGCATGGTTGGACCTCTACTTTCAGGATGGTGTGGATTGGGGTGATTTAAAGTGTTTACACAAAACAGTCTTCTGTCACTGTACTTGGAAAGAGCCTAATAACTTGACCTTATTTGTAAAGTGTGTCAGACCAAAATTCATGACTTTGATGCCTAATCCAACTGCACAGCAGTCATGCAAAGATTTACTGTTCTGTTTAAAAATATTTCACCAGCTAAACAAGATGTTCTGTAGCTATGTATTTTGATCGTTTTAGGTTCTGAAATTCAACTATATGTACATATTTTCTTAATCTGGTCAGGTCTTAATCATAAACCTGAAAGGGTTTTTATGAAGAATTCTAACTTGTGTGCTTGCTTGAGACTTAAATTACTACAGAACTGCATCTCTTCTTCCCAAGGTTTTCAAATTTAGATGAATAGTAATAGTCAAACAGATATAAGCATGGTTATTAAAAATAAACTTTTTTGCATATAAAATCTGAATGATGTGTTTGCTTGCCTTTCAGGAACAAAATGTCGTAGCTAGATCCAGTCTTTGTTTTGTATACAGCTGACAAGTTGCACTTCAGTAAAATGGAACTCAGAAGTTAGAACTGTTATGGACATTGTTTCCTCAAAGTTGTTTTTCTTTACATTGCAGAGATAACTAGCAAAATGATGATTGGCTGCATACAGTAATTGCTCCAAAGTCTGTGATATGCTTTATATGTCCTTTAGAGGAAATATAATCTGATTTATTTGTAATAATTTTACAAAAAAAAATTTACATGGGTATTGAGGCAAGAAGGAGTTGAATATGGAATATTTAAACCAGATTTTTTTTCCCCATATTTTTGCGTTGTTTGTTTTTTTTTTGCAGCCCAACAGAGTAAGTGGTGACCAGATATATGAATTATGGGACTGAAAGTAATTTCTCTAGCCAGCATTGCTGCTAGAGAAACCTTATCCCATCACTGAACTGCGTGTTTGTGTTATTGGTTAAACTTAAGATCAAATATGATTTATCACTATAACTTGAAACTCAAGTGCTGTTTCTTGTTGACACAACAGCTGCTAGAAACACGTCCTTTTTAACTGCCATTCCAACTTTGACCTATTTCTGTATTAACTCCAATTCTCATTATTTGTTCCAATTAAAACTCCACTGTCCTACTGTTGCTTTCAGTGTAATTTCTGTGCAGTTGATTCTGTGCATTTACTTTTTTTTTTGCACGCAGGTGTGAAAAAATGGCAAAGCGAATTGCAGAGAAGGAACTGACTGACAGAAACTGGGATCAGGAGGATGAAGCTGAGGAGGTAAGAGATACATTAGACTCTCTTCATACCAACCCTGCAGGTAGGAGGGTAGTTATTTTACATGTGGTACTTAATCTTGTGTGTGAAATCCAGTGAAATTGATTAAAAGTGTAGCAGTTAAAGATAATTTTATAGAAGTGGGGGTTTTTTTTGTTTGTTTTTTCTCCAATGAAGTTTCTGATACATGCAGACCTTATGGCAAAGCAGCTTTTAACAGTTAAAATGACATAAGCAGCCAGGTGAAAGGAACTTTCCATTTCTAAAGGGAACCCCAGGCTTGTTAAAATGGATAATGCTTTTGAACTGTTCAGATGCATGATGGGTATTATCAAGATAATAAAAGCGGTTTTGAGATTTCTTGAGATATTTTTAATGTCTCATATCTTTTTTTTTAAGGTCAGTAATAGTTAATTTCAGAACTATGTTAACATTGAGTGCTTAGCTACATAGCCAGGGGGATTTAAGCAAACAGTGAAGTGATCTGTTTCATCTGATTGTAAAAAGGAGATTTTCACATTTAATGTCTCTTACTTACTTATGGCTGATGTATTATCTCTAAACAGACTATGCTACTAAAAGTATTAAATATTTAAGCTTGTAAAACGTGAGAAAGAAAACTGACAGTACTCTTCCAGAAATTTGAGTGTAAGAAAACTTAATTTCCTCATTTATTACAGGGTAATAAGTAATTAATCATTAGCTGCCTTTTCTAGTACTTGAACTACAGTGGACTGCAGGACACTGACTTACAGCATACATTTTCAGTGTACCTTCTCCAAACTGAAGATTGTAACAATGCAGTATTGGTAGATTACCTTCAGCAAAGATATCTTACAGCTTTTGGGGGGGGGAGAGAGGGGGGGGGGAAGTCCTGAGCCACTTACTGTAATAAGATTGAGATTGCATGAAGGGAAGTGTAATTTAGAACAATAAAGGCAGAGTTTTGAAAGAATCAACTAATGCCCAAGTGCTCAAGTAGCTGGCATTAGTTGTGTTTTCTGGGTGTGTTGGGGTTTTTTTTTACTTCCTTTACTTGTCTGGGAGCAGTGTTACAGTTGTGTTACAAAACTGATCTCTGCCATCATTTCAGACTGTGGTGAGTTTATGCATTCAGAGAATTTCAGTAATGATTTTGTAACTTTCTCTTAAAGGTGGGAACATTCTCAGTAGCTAGCGAAGAAGTCCTGAAGAACAGAGCTATTAAAAAAGCAAAGCGACGAAATGTTGGATCAGAGGTAATGTAATCACTGAGCATTACTGTTGTAGCTTGACTCAGTTGCTAAATGTGACATCTGTGCTCAGGTTTTTACTTATTTGGGCTTGTAATAATACTGTATAAAGCTGTATATACTGTACAAAGCTGTCGTTCAGAAAGTATGTGCAACTAGTCAGCTTACTGTTACATAGAAAAGAATAAAGCTAGAAGGAAAAAATGAGTAATACTAGTATTAGACTGGGTGAAGAGAAGTTTGTATTTTTGAAGTATAAATGCAGAGTGGTTTAGACAGTGTCATCTACATATGGGTAAAATAGCATTTGAACAGTTCCAGTTCATTCTTTGCAGAGGTGGAAGCCTAGCAATTGAAAGTTATTCCATACTGGAGGGCTAGGGGATGCCTCAGAGGCTAAATAAAAGCCAAAATACAAAGCTGTTCTGAGAATAAAAAACATGTCTTTTGTTAAGAATGTTGGAACTTGCCCCTCCCCATGTGAAGAGTTTTAGTGCCACCTACTCTTTGCAGTAACAAATTGAGAATTGAAAGGAAGTTGGTCTTTGTTACAGGTTTAGTCCTTGTGAAAGTATTAACCCAGTTCAGCCAAATCATAGTCCTTCCAAAATCCCTGACAGATGCTTTGTGGTATATAAAATCATAGAACAGTTAGGGTTGGAAAGGACCTTAAGATCACCAAGTTCCAACCTCCTGCCATGGGCAGGGACTCTAAACCATGTCACCCAAGCTCTGTCTAACCTGGCTTGACCACCACCAGGGATGGAGCATTCCCAGCTTCCTTGGGCAACCCATTCCAGTGCCTCACCACCCTTACAGTAAAAAACTTCTTCCTTATGTTTAATCTAAACTTCCCCTGTTTAAGTTTTACCCCTTGTTCTGGCACTACAGTCCTTAATGAAGGGTGCCTGCCCAGGATCCTTACAGGCCCCCTTCAGATACTGGAAGGCTGCTATGAGGTCTGCACACAGCCTTCCCTTCTCCAGGTTAAACAGCCCCAACTTTCTCAGCCTGTGTCCATACAGGAGTTGCTCCAGCCCCCCTGATCATGTAACTTTATGTGAAACATTATTTGAACAAGATACGCACCATGATACAAATAGGACAGAAACCTTACCTGTAACTTAAATTGCTTTTGGATTGAATGGGATGAAGTACAATTAGGGGGCTAGATGGTTTTCTCCAGTGTGTTTGATTTCCCTTCTGTTGTCCAGGCAGTGTAAATGAGGAAGCTGTCTTATCCCACTTCTGCCTATAGCGATTATAGCCACTAGTGTGATAGAGGATGCAGTTAATTAAAAAATTGCACTGGGAAGAGGTTATGCAAGAAATAAACTACAACTTAAGCAGGAGGGACTTGGGGCAAATGGAATAGGAAAAACAACTGGCTGAGAAAGCTGACCAGATGAGTGTAGAAGAAATAGACAGGAAGTTGGGAGTCAGCAGTTAAGAGATCAAAGCTGGAATAAGAGCCAGGATGCTCTGTTGTGGCTGTAAGCCCAGACGGCAGCTAAGCACTGTACAGCCTGCTGGCTTTCCCCCCCATGGTGGGATGGGGAGGGAGTAGGGGAGAAGGTAAAACCCATAGGTTGATATGAGAATATTTAATAATTAAAACAAAATGTAATAATAGTAATAAAAGGGGCGATAATGAAAAGAGGGAGGAAAATGACCTCAGCTGACACCAGGACAACAGGCTGGACAAAGTCTAAAAAGCAGAAGAGATGGCAGGACAGCTGAGGTTGCATAAGTAATCATCAAAACTCTTACAGAAAGGTAAGCTTGAGCTTTATTTATGTTCCTGATGAAGCAAGCAGAATGCTTCAAAGAAAAGGACTGCAGTTTAACTTTGAACATCTGGAGATGTAGGTAGGACTGAGAAACACAAAGATCAGAGAGACACAAAGTAAAAATAGCTACCTAGAAGTGAGAAACAGGACTGCATGGGAAAAAGTAAAGCAAAAAGCCCATGCCCAGAAGGCAGGATACTGGAACAGAACCTAAAGTGGGTAAGGTTTCCTATTTCTTCAGTGGCAAAAGCAGAGGAAACTCGGAAGCAATTCTTTTCTTCTGATGGCTTTTCAGAGACATCAGAAATTCACTTCCAGTAATAATGTGCTCATTACCTCAAGAGACATTATATGTAGTATGTAAAAGTGGCAATGCCTATTTATGTCGAAATCACACTGCATCTTTTAAAAACATTTAAGAAACTGTGCCCTAAAAGCATCTGGTTATAAAGAGTTATCAGAACTAGGTAATGAAAAGGCTGCAGAAAGCATATGTATGTTATCAACTTCAGTCTTGTCTTTGCTTCTCCCTTCAGACACATTGGAGTATTTTGGGCAAATCACAAATGCTACATAGGTGACTACAAAGTATGCTGGTTTTGATGAGTAGCTTAAAGAGTTGGACTCAAATTGTGATTGTAAATGCTATATATTGCTGAAAATAAGCCTGCAATTATATTGCTGTGTAATTATTTAAAGAAAACAAGATGCTATGAATGCCTAAATAGGTAGTCAAACACATCCGCTGCTCTGAATAACTTTTATATATCCACTTCCTAGATCTGGTTTATTTTCATACCAAACATCTGAGTCCTTTAAAAATAGTAGGAATGTGTGTCACAAGGAAGCATATAACTTTGCTTACATGGCTGAATTGGAATAATGCACTGAAATGACACACTGAACCAGGATAATAATGAAAGGAATATCAAATGAACATAGGATTTCCACGGAGAAGATGTATGTAACAGTCTGTCTTCTGTATTTCTTTCCCCAGTCTGAAAGTGGAGGAGCTTTTAAAGGTTTTAAAGGCTTTGTATCGCCTTCTGGAAAAGGAGGAGTTGGCTTCAGCGGATTTGGTAATGGTGCAGGAATAAAGCCTTTAGAAGGGTTGTCTAATGGAAGCAGTAGCGTCACTAGCGCTCCTTCTTTCACCAGTTTAAAGACCAGTTCTGAAACACAAACACAATCAGCATTTGGTAAGTTTTGAATAAGCATATATCTTTATCAACAAATTCAGCCATAAAATCTGCAGGGTTCTTTTAATAGTAAAAAAAACTCCAAATGAAGACACCCTGTAGTTCTGTTTTAAGGTTTTGAGATTTTATTCCTCCTTTTTAAGTTTCTTAAAATGATGTAGACTGCTGGAAAGACAAGTTATCAAATGCATGCAGTTTTAAGAGGTGGAAACTAAAATTGTGTTTGCTCCGATAACCAGAGGCAAAAGCTATACAGGCACAAATGGGACTGGAAGACACTGGCATAAAACATTCTCCAAATAGTATAAAAGAGCTGATAACATGTTCCACTTAAATAATTGTCCTGATTCTCTGAATTAAATTGGAAAAAAAAAAAAGGGCACCAAACTAGTGGAAAATGTCACTTAGTAGGACATTTTCTTTGTGTGATTTTTTTTTTTTGTTTTTAAGGTTTTGTTTCTGGGTGTTTTTTTTTTCAGTTCTTGGTAAATATATGCTGCATAGCTAAAATCTTAACCTTCTAAGATACAACCTTGCAATATAACCTGTACAGCTTCAATTGCAAATAGTCTTAACTAGAATTTTATCTGTTACATTTCAAGATACTTGAACTATTCTGGTAAGTCTGGCTCTGGTGTCATGCTTTGGTAGTCCCAGAGAATGTTAGTTCTATCCCTTTGTGTCAGAGATGCAGAAATGTTAAACATGCCACAGAATAGAAATGGTGGAGTTTGAAGTTTAGAGTAAATCAAATTTCAGTGAGTTCAACTAAATTAGGAGAAACTTGAACGAGGACTTTCTTAATTTGCTTATTACGGTTTTTATATGCAAACCACTTGAAAAGGTGCAAAATCATGGGCTAGTGTGTTCAGAGTTTTATAAAGTACGAGTAGCAAGAGATAAGGGAATATTTTGTTTTAATGACTGTTAGAGCTTGGTAAAGCTTGAATTAATATTTTGAAGGTTTTGGTGAAATATTAAACATCTTTTTTTTTTTAATGTTATTCTATACAAGACTCTTGTTTTTGTTTTTTGGGTTTTTTTTTAGTACATAGCAGTTGTGCTCCATCTACTTTGTCTAGCCCTGAACTAACTTTTCTAAACTTGGTGAGCTTAGGTCTGCTTCACAGCATTGTTTATTTGTACAGCAATACCTGGTACATAGTCTTGTGATCCAGGAGAGGTATATAACAGCAAGAATGAGTGATTTGATAAAGAAATACAGAGAACATTAGTTAGGCTTTAATGAGAACCTTGCTTTCTGGGGAAAAAAGTGTTCTAACCCTTGTTTTTCCTTCTGACAGGATCCACAATGTCAAATGGTCCCACTACTACTGCATTTACTGAGAAAAAGGCTGCAAGCCCCAAAACTAATGGTGGCAATCAACCATCATCATCTGGCTATGCTCAGAGTAAAGCTTGTAGCTCTAGCATTTACCACAAACAGTTAGCAGGTTTAAACTGTTCGGTGCGTGACTGGATAGTTAAGCATGTAAACACAAACCCACTGTGTGACCTAACACCCATCTTCAGAGACTATGAGAAGTACTTAGCAAATATTGAACAGCAACATGGGAGCAGTAGTGATAGTGGCTCTGAAAATGAAAGCAACAAGACACCTGGCACTCAGTCTGTTTCTGCATTTGGGAATGCAAAGCTACAGCAAGGATCAACGTTTTTGTTTAACAACAAAACTGAGGATACCTTGGACAAAACCCCTGAAGCTGCATCAGAAAGAAAAGACCCATCATTAGGTGCTACGTCAACAGTCTCGTTTAATTTTGGCAAGAGTGTCGACAGTTCTGTTTTAGGTTCCCTTGGTTCAGGAACACTCAGTAGTTTCTCATTTTCTCCTGGGAATTCAGGTTTGTTTGGAAAAGATGCAAACCAGGCTAAGTCTGTCACTGGAGTATCCACCAATATATTGGAAGCTCAGACAGAAAGTGGCAGTACTGATGATAAAGGTAAATTCTATTTAAACTTACGACTTTCATGGTAACCTGTGAATATATATGACTTAAGAATACTACATGGATGAAATAATACAAAGTTGAGCTAGATCATAAGTGTCTTGAATTTGAAGGTGCAAAACTGCACTGACAGTCTGGAAATAGCTTGGCTTTGCCTCCTGTTTAAGTAATACTAGAAGCATATGTGATATGATACATGTTTTGTATCACAAAATCTGTGATAAAAACCTTTATCACAGAATCATAGCATGGTTTAGGTCAGGAGGGACCTGAAATATCATGTAGTTCCAACCCCCCTGCCAGGGGGAGGGACACCTTCCATTATACCAGGTTGCTCAAAGCCCATACAACCTGGCCTTGAACACTTTAGGGTGGGGCAGCCACAGCTTCTCTGAGAAGCCTGTTCCAGTACCTCACCATCCTCATAGTGAAGAATTTCTTCCTAATGTCTTATCTATATCTCCCCTCTTCCAGTTTAAAACCAGTCCTCTTTGTCCTATTCCTACATGCCCTTTTAAAGTCAGACTTGTACTTTCTGTAATAGAATATAATTCTTTAGCTGAATACAAGACTTGAAATTATGAGATCTAAAAGCACCTTTTATGTTCCTCTTTGAGCCTGCAGGATATTTCAATCCTGCTGCTTTTCCTAATAGGTTTATCAAGGTATCCCCTCAGTAAAATGGATAAGATATAGAACTTCATACATCTTACTTCATAGACTGTAAGGCAAATAAATTTACATACTACTTGACAGTTTAACTCATCTCATCTGTGAACAGTAAGCTGATAGAAATCCAGCAGTCAGGGGACTTGAAGGGCATAATCCTGCCACAATCTCGTTGATGTCATTACTGCAATTAATTCCTTTTCCCCACATTAAACCTGGCTATGTGGAAGTATTTATTAATGCTTTACTTGGACCCGTTTGTAGAGACTATTCTTTGAAATTTTGTAACTTTCTCCCTGACAGAAAGTTTTGACTTCAGCTGGACTTGTTAAGCTTTGTATGTATGGGTTTGATTGTTTGGTGGGGGTTGGGTTTTTTCATGCCATTTAAACTGAAGATGAGCATAAAGTTGCTTGAGGTGTGTGGCTGAACGAAAATAAGACTGTAGCTGTTTCAAGCCCACATTGACCTAAATATACTTTGGCAATCACTTACAGGCCACGCATGTATATGTCAAATACAGTATGAATAAGCTAATGCTAATACAATGCCAAAAGTACTTTCGTATTATATACTCACAACATATCCTTTTTTATTTAAAGGAGAAGAGGAGGAAGAAGAGCCACCAAAAGTCATTGTTAATGAAATAAAGGAGGATGATGCTTTCTACTCAAAGAAGTAAGTGACTTTGACTTAGATCAGTGAACAGAATTGTAACTTGGAAAATAAAACTTACATACTTGTATATTGTTGTTCACCACTGCAGCATATGTAATTAATGGCATATATGTTCTTGACTTCTTAGTTAATAAACTTTGTTAGGAAGCCTTACAGAACATGAAGTTCTACTTGTAAAAAAGTTAATTACAGAGAAAAATGTGTAAGATCTTACTAAAATGGTTGTATAGCTTGGACATAGCACTATAGTAGCTTGTGTTCTGCTTGCAGTCAGTGTTTAACAAATAAAGATGTTTCTGCCTTCAGGTTTTGGAAGTTTTAAGTTGTAGGGCTTGTACCACAGAAATGGATTGTACTTCTGAAAATTCAGTCAGGTGCTTAGCTATTTGCATTGCCTGAGATAAGACTTTCATCAGAAAATGCTGATTGTTGTATGAAGGAGTGAACAAGTTGTACTTTTAAGTTCAAAATGAGACTAGCTGTACTAGAAGCAGGTTTTCAAAGCATGTTCAGTGGACCAAGTAACTGCTTATCTGCCTTACACTTAGCACAGAATTTGGCCTCCTACAAATTCCTGCTTTATCTGAGAGAAAGTATGCTCATTTGTGAAGTATGGCATTAGATTAGTTAGTTTCACTTCCAAAACATTTTTAGATTTTCCATAAAAGTCCTGTTATAGCTCCAGAGTAATACAGCAAGTCCTTACGGCTTCGTAATTTGTGTTTTTAAACAGTAGCTTACAGTTACTACTCTTTATAGACCCTGAGTACAGGTTGCTGTGCATTCTGCTTTTCCCTGAATGTAACACGTTTGTCATTTTGCTACTGAAAGAAACAATCAACTTCCTCTTTCTGATCTGAAAGTATTATCTGTTAGCACTTGAACTAAGGTAAGGGGAACAGAGATCTATGCTATTCGCAGCTTGTTCACTCCTGATTATTGTTACACTATTGACTTCTGGGAATCAGATTCATACATACAGTCTGCGTGTATTTGGGAGACATCTTTGCATTCTATTACCACAAAAAAGGTGGTGTTTTTCCTTTTGCACAGATGCAAACTGTTTTACAAAAAGGATAACGAATTTAAAGAAAAAGGTGTAGGAACGTTACATTTAAAACCAGCAGGAAATGAAAAAACTCAACTCCTGGTCCGAGCGGACACCAATTTAGGTAAGTCGGTTTCTTCTAGTAGCAAGTCTTGGAATGTGAAATTCTCTGCCTATCATTAGGGTTACACAGCATAATAGACTTGATAGGTGAAAACCTTTCAACTTTTTTTTAGTAATTTCAAGTATTGAACAAGCAGTTGGATGTCCCTAGAAAACACTGCACATGAAGTAATATGAGGAAGCAAAAGGTTAGGGTGTATGTTTGAGTGTTCCTTCCCCCCCACCTTTTTTAATAGCTTTTCTCCATCCCTGGCTTGAGTGCCTTGAAGTGTGGCTTAAGGTCCACAAATAACATATTACCAGGGGTGAGAATGAAGAGGAAAAAGGTTTGTGCTGAGGTGCAGGCCAGCTGTCATTTGTCTGCCATTCATCCTGAATATGTAAATTGTTGGTCAGATGGGTAGGCATGACACTGTAGCTAGTGGTAAAGGGGGGCATTATATAGGTCAGGCATGCAGGATTTTGCTATATGCATTGCTCTTACTGCATGCTGAAGTCCAGCTGTTGAACTCTGTTTCAGCTAACTTCAGCTGGATCACAAATGGTAGAGTAACCCATAGTGTGATAGTTCCTCAGAGTATCTTTTGAGATGAACATCAATACATACAGATAATTAAAGAGGAAAAAACCCAACCATTTCTTTGCTTTTAGGGGGACTTGATATGTTACAGTTTTTTTCCAAGAGTAATGTTGAGTGTTCACACACTCAAACTGTGCAAAATCAATGATTTGATAATCATCGTTGAGAAATGTGGCTGTATTTCAGTACCTGATTGAAACACACTGGTATGTGGGGTTTGCATGCACTTGACAATTTCTATTTCTATAAAACAGAATAAACATGGTGCTTACAGTAGACCTCAGTATCAAAGCCATGCTGCACTGCAGGCCATGGGTACGTCTTGCCTCACTTTCAGTTTATAATGTACTCTAGCAAGTCTCTATGAAGTCTCTGCAGGGGTCTGGTGAGATTGAGACTCCTGTGTTAGTCACTTCTGAATCATTAATGCTTTCAGTGGAGAGGTTTGCCAGAAAAGAGCAGTTCACAGCAGTAACACTAAAGGCATATGGATGACAGTTGTCAGCGCTTTCAGCATCTCCCTGGGCTTTTGAATGTGTTGAATACAGCAGGTGAAAATTTGGTTTCTCCCACGTTACCTAGTCTGTAGTGCAAGTCTGGATTTTTCGCTCAGCTGATGCTGATTTCCTGATGTTGACTTACATTCCATTTGCCTTCATCTTAGGTGCTGTATTAGGAAATCTTTCCTGTTTTCTTCAGCTCACACACTTAAAGACATTTCAGCTTGGTGTTTCCAAGCATTGGTTTCTAGAAGCTGCTGCAGTCATAGTGATGCACACTTTCCTTTTTGCTATCTTCACACAGTGCTGTAATCCTTTCCTAAAATCTCACTGTGTTGAAAAACTGAACTGCAAAGGAAGGCGAAGACTGACTTTCCCCTAAACACTACTACCGTGTTCTGAACTATTTACCAGGTTTACAAACTGTGTGCATCTTCTGTGGAAGCAGATTTGAGTTTGTTTGCAACTGTTTTAATAGACCACTAATACTGAAGCTCTCAAACTCACTATGTAATTTAACAAGTTGATGTAGAGCTGCTGTTAGTAACATGGTGGTAGACCACATCAGATGTGTTGTACAATATGATGATATAAAGTACTTATTCTACCACAGTTTGTCCAATATTAAATTAATGTGTCTGTGTGTGTTAAAGCTAACTTCTTGCTTCTGCTTATGAGCTCTGCGTGATGGTCAGAATGAGTAACTTGCATAAGCATCAACTAAGCACTGTGACTGGATTCCTCATTTGCTGCTTCTCCCTTGTCCCCTTCCCTTTTTCCTGTGTGTCCCTACTATCACTTCATATTCTTCAGAGTTCTCCCTTTAAAAAAGGAGGACACAGTATTTGCAGAGATTTCCTCTTTCCTCATGAGGAAAGAAATCTGTGAGAACAGTGGCCATGAGCAGATGCTTAGGGAAGAGTAAAATAAGTATACCTGATATTTGTGAATTGCCTTCTTTCCAAGTATAAATGTAAGTCCCTGTTTAGTAATTATACTAACATCTGTCCTGCAGTAAAAACTGAAGAATTGCTAATTATATTTTTTTTCCCCTCCTCATACGCAGGGAACATACTGTTGAATGTTCTAATTCCACCTAAGATGCCATGTACAAGAACCGGGAAGAACAATGTTCTTATAGTTTGTGTTCCTAATCCACCAGTTGATGAGAAGAACCCAGCTGTTCCTGTCACTATGTTAATAAGGGTAAAAACAAGTGAGGATGCAGATGAGTTGCACAAAATCTTACTGGAGAAAAAGGAGGCTTAAATAAGTTGTAGTCAGTGATGTGAGGAATTATTGCCAAACTGTTGCTGCTCTTTCTTCCTTCCATAAGTTCACTTGAACACTTAACTCTTTACTCTGATATTAAGAACTGTTATAGGGATTCTGGAAAAATTTTGTGAGGAAAAGCTAAACTAGGTAATAAAAGCTTTAATAGAACACAAGTGTTGGACTGTGCTCCCTCATTTTTCAGTATCTAAATGCAGGACCTCTTGGGGATAAAGCACATTGATTTAAATTGAAGCCTGTTTTTACCACTGGTCAATTTGACTGAATGGACTGAAATCGGACTGCAAAAATATGGTACCCAAGCTTCCTCACAGACTGCAGTGCAATGCAACACCTGCCTCTCTGGAAAGGAGGACGCTGAAGTGTAACTGTTGAAACTGTTTGTAGAGTCCAGATTTTTAATTTTAACTGGTCTGCAGTATTCTGGTAAGACTTAAGTTTTCAAACTCTGTGACAACAGTGCACCCCAACAACAACGATACTATATATTGTACTGTGTTTTACAGACTTGTGTGCTTTTGAGACTCTGAGACTGTGTCTCTAGCTATTTAAAAGAAAACTTGCTTGCGTAGTCTTGTTGACAGTAGTGTTTCTTAAAGAACTGTCAGTTCTGTTCTTACTGTAGCAACAAGCTAATGATGTGCAATAGTACAAGCAGACAACTGGAAAACTGTTTATCTTGGACTACAACCACAGCTGGCAGTCCCTGACTGGTGACAAGTTGAGGCAAAGGGTTGCACTTCCATTTTGGTGTCTGGAGGAATTCTTCCCTAGTCCCTTGGGCTACAGCTGAAACCCAGCAGAGGCAGAGTTGTCAATGGTGTACTTGTCTTGCTACTGGTACTTTTCTGAAGGTAGCTCTTTTCACAAATGAATTTCAAGATTTTTACAGATCTTTATATTGCCTCTGGCCATTACCAGGAAATACATGCATAGATGTATGTGTCAGTCATTATTTTTCCCCATGTCCTAAAACTTCAATGCTTTACTGTGTTACATTAAATAAAGCAGTAGTTCACAGGTTTAGGATAAATTTTCTATCATAAGTAGGGAGCACTGGCTTAATCTACAGCTTAGTTTTCAGCTGTGTTAAAATTAACCATGTGGTAGTAATTTGTTGGTCAGAACATCATTCTGGTCTCTGCTTCCATCTCAATGTCATCAGAACATATGTGGTTATTTAATCCTTTTCACATCTTGTTTGCTGGAAGATCCTTCCCTAAGAGTCGGTTTTCTGCTTCACTTCCTGCTCTGGGAACTATATAAGAGCTAGATGTTTAATGTTAAACTTGAACTGCTCTCAGGTCTGTCACACTGACCAGCTCTGGGGAAATAGAAGAAACATGACAACCTGCCTCAGGTTACTGTGGGCATGGAGGGAAAAATTCCATTCCTTAAAAAAAGATAAAAGCATGATTCTATGATGCAATTCTTGCAGGGAACCTGGGAATCTATAAGAGTGGCATCCTGTGGTGGGGAAAAAGTAGTAGCACCATTTGACTAAACACCGCGCGTGGTACGTGCTTCCCACTGCTCCCTGGGGGAAGAAGGGGCTGCCTTTACTCTTAATTCACTGCACAATTCAGGTTATGGCCTTTCCCCTTCTTTCTCCCCCCTTAAGTAAAGGGAGGAAAAAAACTCTAGGATCTTTACCAAGGTTCAAAAACAAAAGCCTTTGCTCACATTTCAGCTACACTTAAGTCACAGGAATTGCATTTTAACACTCAAGTGTAAAGGGAGCTCAAATGCCGTTTCAAATATTTGAAGTACAAACTGGTGCCTTTTTCTTTCATGTGGCTCAGTACTTACCCCTTAAAAGTGACATTACTGTCTTCAAAATAATGTCCTTTCTAAAAAAAAAAATAAAATGAAAAAATCTTGCTGATACCTAAATTGGAGGCCAGAAGCTGAAGCCACTCCTGGTAGTTGTGTGAACAAAAAGGAGAACATTGCCTGAAAGTTTATTACAGGCTCAGGTTTAATGTCCAAGGGCTCAATTAGTTTTGCATTTGTCTTCTGGCTGTAGTGTCTTAAATGTATCTCCATGCAGAAGGGTTTGTGGACTATAAGGTGCTGGATGTTGTAGGTGAATTTCTTATGCATCCCCCAAAGAGCAACTGTAGAGGTTGTATAAGTGGTCTTGGGTTTTTGTTTACTGCTGACAGCTCATAGATGTGTAACCTTCTTCATCCACTGAAGTATGGACCAACTATCTTAAGCAACCGAGAGACAACCAACTTCCCTCTGTATCCTTAGTTTGCCTCCACAGTGAGGCAGTCTTGGTGTTTTGCATGCATCTCTTGGGCCCAGTTCTAAAGCTGGCAAACTGAATAATGGCTCGTGCATCTCTCCTGTTTCCAAGGGTGGACATTCTGAGGGTGAGCACAGTGTAATGAAGAATAATAAATTGTGTTGGAAAAGTTAAACCTTACAATACCAATGGTAGCAAATAATAGCTTCTGTCAGAGGTGGGAAAGATCAAATGATGAGACACCTTAATTCTTTAGCACCATACATATTTATGGGTAGAGCTAAGGGCAGGTATATAACTGGAATCTTGTGTAAATGAGAATGTCAAATATATGCATGAACATGTGATATTAAACATTTTACACAGGGAAAGTTGCCGCTAAAAGAACAGGGAAGAATTTTACTGCAAATAGCATAATTAATAGCAACCCTGCCATTATCTGAACTATGACACAGGAAAAGTCAGTCACATGCTTCTCACTTGGTGTTTAGTTATAAAACACACACAACCCTGCGCCAGTACTTTTACCAAAACAAATTTTTGATGATACTTCAGTTTCTACTGAAGAAATATTCAACTGTATCAATACTGTAAAAGAGCAGATTATCAAATAGAAATAAAGGCTTAATTAAAAGCTAAAGTTAGTGGAAAGCATAAAAATCAATACGCTGATGCCTTCATAACAGTGTCACGTGCTATACAAGGAAGGAACTGTGATTAGAATTCCAACTGAGTGAGACATTCTTGTATCTTGGTAGATACTTAATGTATGTAACAGCTGGATATAGGATACCTGATGTTAAAGATGCCAGGTTCCTCCCTCATCTGAATTGATGCCTTCACTGTTTGAGCTGTGCATAGGTGGAGGAGTGTCTTGTGGATCATGCGTTCTTCCTTCTGATGTAATTTTGAAGTTTCAGCTGCTCAGAAATCTCTCGCCTCACCAAACCAGAAAAATCATGATTTCTGCTTCCTGTAACTCTCAGAATCATCTGTAAGGGAGATTATTACAGTTGGTTTACATTTTATTTTAGGATACTAAATTGCTATATGCAGGGATTCTTTTGTAACATACTTTAAATTATCTACGTGTGAGCACAACAACACTGCGTACCTATAATCCCTTTCGGATGATGAAAGTTCAGATAAAATTTACAGCTCAAATGAACATCTTTTAGAACATAAACCCATTAGGAGGTACGCTTTACTATTAAGAACTTAGCTCCCCGTGCAGCACTGTAACTTTTAAAATGTCCTTAAAGACTTTCTTTCTGATGCCTTAACTTACTTGCATTTGCTGAAAGTTTGTAGCTGGTGCCTGTGTGCAGAGATTACCTGACATTAAACAACTTAAAGTGGCATGAGCTGGTATAAATCCAATGAAAATGCTGAATGTGATGATCTGTTCATAGATTTCAAACTGCTCTGAACTTTTCAGATGATACTTAACTTGTCATGTCACAATGTTTTCACTAGCTCTGATACGTTGAGGAAGTGTACAAAAATCCATGGAAAATGTGAATAAAAGAATAAGAGATAAGTGTCTTGTGTGGATCGCTTTCACCCTGAATATGTGATACGGCATTAATAAAATAATTTTACAGTCAGTTGCTTGCAGGTGAGCTCCTTGCCTAGAAAACCCTGCGTGTGGCCTTAGCACTGCTAAAAGCAGCAATGTCCTACTCTGCCTCTTCCCCAGGCTGCTTTAAGACCTCTCGCAATGCAAAAAGCCAGTTCAGCAGCAAGGCTTCTTGCCAGGTCACTGAGCAGAGTCATCTCGGAGGAGGCAGGGCTGCCTCTGACTAGACGGAGGAAAACTAGTTCTTACAGGCTAGGAGAATGACTCGGGAGAACAGCCACTAAGAATCCCTCTGCTTGAATACTGAAAGCTTTAAGAGCAATATTAATCGGTGTTTGCCTGCTTAACGACACAGAACTTAATTTAGATCTAGCCTAAAAGTCAGGCCACAACACGATTCTTCTCTTCATTGGTGTGTGACAATTTGACAAAAAACTCCACCAAAAGTATCCCAAATCAACCAAACAAGAATAAAAATCTAAACACTTGTCATGACAAGTGTAGATCTTGCACAAATGAACCATGAACTGCTGAGACCATGGGAGCGCCTGTCACCCAACTGTACTTCCCACCATTAGCCACTATCATGCTGTCTAGCCCTACACCTTAATTCTGTTCATAGTTCTGGACCTACCCACTTTATGCCTGCAAATGGGAGCTACTTCTCACATGAAGGTACAATTAATGGTTAGCAAAAATAAGTCAACATCTCCCCATCATCACACCCCCAAGTACAACAATGGAGAAATTCAAGAGTCTGTTCCATTTTTTAAGCATGCAGTTGCTATTAATAGAGAGCCACACTTCTACCAGAATTTCCCAGTATTTTTTTGGCTCTCCCCTGCAACGAAGAATAAAGAGGCTCTGCCTCCTGGGTGCCTATTTGGCAATCTCACCATGAGTGCCACAGCACATTATTCCACCCTTTATGCTCACTACCAGTAAGGAATACATTCAAACTCAAACACCACTAGGCACAGTAGAGAAAAAACACTATTAACAGAATTCATGGTAATTTAAGAGGTCTGTTTATTGGCTGCAGGGTCCAACACTTTCTTCACTACTGCTGTATGCAAAGTCAACTCCATTTTTGGTGCACAAAGGTTCTCCTTGCTCTTTGTTCAAAGGGCTCAGTATAGTGCCAGCATGATTTTCGGCCCATCATCTTCTAATCAACACTGATGGATCAATGAGGCAAAAAAAACCAAAACCATGCAACATGTGTTAGTCTGATAAAAGTAGGCTGAGAATATTTATATATTTACACAGAGAATGTTCAACATCGTAACCTGCTTGCAGCCTTGCATTATCTTGACCAAGCATCAAAACAGCTACATTCTGGTGTAAAATACTTTTTCATTTATGGTTTGGTGTAAAAGCTTTCACTTCACAATGCCTTTAACGGGATTCTACCATACCTATTTTTGACACAGAATTTCTACACACCAGTGTCACACACTTTTAGTCGTACCTCACAAAACAATATAAGGCATTCGCAGATATCTGACTGCTGTGACCACAAGGAATCCATTTTCCAGAGCTTTCTGCTGTGACCATTGGAGACCATGAGTCTTCACACACAAAGGGCAAGTCCATAGGAGACAAACAGTTCTTCCAAGAACTATAAACTCTGCCATTTCTTGACGCTGCTACACACAACATGGATAGAATTTAAGACTACTTCATTAATTCCCTAAATAAAGATTTGTTCTTAAACCCCACTGGATAACAACAGGGCTTAGGCACTTCTGAAGATTTTATCTTATGTCTGTCTGAAATAAGGGGAAGCTTCAGACTACAAAACACAGGACAAGCAATCATCTGGGAAGGGAAAAATCAGTGACTGTCAAGAAACGGGTCAATAGTGTAGACTATGTATGTGGACTCCACATCCACACAGAACTTCACTGACAAGGTGGGATTCTCTACATCAGGATCTGCCAGAAGAAATCTGTCTGCAGAGGCAGAGCCTTCAGTGTTTTAATTAAAACTTAGTTTAAGAATATACTTTGGGAAAATTGTTTTACTGCAATAACTCACCTGTGCAAACAATCCTGTTTTCTGGAAAGCAAAGTATGCCCAGAAACGTAAAACTGAGTAACAGTGATCCAGAGCCCAACATGATTTAAGTCTTGTAAACAATAAAGACCAGGAGAATGAAAACAGAAGGAATGTGAACCAATGCAAACCAGATTAGCCAAGGGAGCTGAAAGATTTGTGTGGCATTTCTAAAAATGGCTTCTTTTCAAAGGAGACTTGGAACCCACCCTGCACTGGCTGGCTATAAGAGAACACAATCTCACATATGTCACTGTCTCTAAGGCAGAGCAATAATCTGCTAATACAAATTAATCAATTCAAGAGCTGTCTTTAGAAAACAACAGCTTTTACTTCTTAAATTGATAGCAGTGAAAAAACTGTTAAGGGTGAGAAGATTTACATCCTTGCATTTGGCATCTATCAATATACATCATTTATGGAGAGTTCAAGCAGTAAACCTCTATCTCCAGAGAGAGTGAATGGACAGAAGGAAGGAAGAAGTTAACTGCTTCATGAGGTATGGTGGGATTGTGTAAATAAACAAAGCTGCCCTGCAGAGCCTCCCAAATCTCTTAATCATGCTGCATTCTCAATCATCCACATAACTAACGAAAACCACTGTGCTCCAACAGTTAAGACATAGACAGCCACACAGTCTTTATGGCACTCCGAACACACCAGTTTATTCCTCAGCCACTGTTTAAATGGTCAACAGGGGCTCAAATGGTTTACTGGGTAGGAGCTACAGAATTAAGAACCCCTCCAAATTAAAAGGGTGAGAAGCTTCTATTAACATTCCCTTTTCTTTTTTTGGTTTAGTGCAATAGCATGCTAAGGGCCTAGCTGTGCCATCTTGACCCAAGCAAAACTTTAGTCATCTTCCCCGTTAATCTGTCTATACAAGGACAATAAATTACAGTTTCCAGGGTTTGTTTAAAAGCAGAACAAAACACAGAATCTGTTTCCCCTGACTTGATAACAGAAAGTGGGAGCCAGGGACAATACGTAAGAAGTCTAAGTTTAGAGAAGGAATAACAGAATCTGGCACATCTTGTTTCTGAAAAGCACTATTGACTTTCAGTAGACTTTCTGACCTCTGTTTTCTATGGATGTACATCTGGGCATACCTGTATCCTTTTCTATTTCTAGAAAAGGTAAGACTTTGTACCTGCTACGTACCTACAGCATATCCACTAGCAAGATACAAGTAATAAATTAGCTCTTTTTAGGACATTTACATTGCAGTCCCTCAAAAACTAGACATCAAAGTCCACCCACATACATGTAACGAGCAGATGATAACTCCTGCATAACAGGTGTGGGATCTGAACTGTACCTTCTGTAACACTGCCCTTCTACTAATGTACTAGTTTATTATTCATTCATTTGCTCTGAACTCTTATGCAGCAAGATTTGCTCAGTCTTCTAGATCACATGACATTAACCTACCTGAACGTAATACACAGTAACAAGCATTTCAAATTACTGTCAACTGAGAAGCATTCAGGCACCTACCACTTGGGTTCCACTCTGGATTCATTTCCTTTTCACGTGTGTTATTCCTCTAACTGTTTGACTGAAATGTATGAATTGTCACTAGTAGTACACATATTAACCCTCTCTCCCTTCCCTCCATACTGAATATTTAAAGGAAAACCAAACACTGATTGGCCTGGCCCATCAGTACAAAAGTGCAGACTAAGGAGCATCTTAAGAGGCTTCAGAGTAGGACTGGTCTTCCAGCTGAAGACTGGTTTAACTCAGCATGGCCACAGGGAGAATAGTTCTACTGACTGACATTAGGCACACTGCCTCAGGACCTCAGGTAAGCACCTAAGCTGCCTAGTGAGCTCCTTGCGAGGGCACTTCAGCTTCTGACTTAGACTTAGGACTCCACCTATCTAACCTGGCTCAGGAAGAATGCCTAGGCACTCAAGTTACATGCCTCAGGTTAGACCATGTGCACACCCTCAGATATACACACACACACACACACACAGAGTACCACACAGGCCCACAGAGCAAAGTTAAAAGGCTGCAATGTGAAAAGTGGCTGTGCTGGTAATGACAAAGTGAACACTTCCCTAACGCTGCTGCAACACATTTGAAGCAAACTGAAAACTGGTCAGCTGTCCCTGCCATGCACTCATGCTGCCAGGGTTAGAAATGCCATCACTCTGTTCTATGGTGACTGCTGCCGGGCCTAGCCTCAAATAGAAAAAGACCTCCTTACCATGCTAGATTCACCATGTTGGGCTGAATGATAAAGTTAATCTCTACCTTTATGCTGAAGTGGAGCTATTCCCATGGAATCTGAGGAAAAAAGGCAGAAAGTCCTATTTCAGAGGTTAAGTCATCATATGCTATTGGCAGAATAACAACAAAGCACTTTGGGAGGGAGACAAAGGTCCAGACTCCAAGCATGTGTCACTTGGTAACTGTGGCAACAGCATTAGATTGAGGTGCTCAGAGTCTAAAAAGTGACAAAAATGGCATCTTCGTTCTCCCTTTGTGCATGTGTGGAGTCTCCCATGCCCTAAGCAACACACTACCCCACCCACTGCTGTGCCAGTTATGCAGTCATAAGTAAACTAAGTATTGACTGACTCCCATATCAAAACAGTGAACCAGACTGCAGTAGTCTCAGTATTGAATCATTTAGCTTTTCAAATGTCAGGACAGCAGAGTTCTGCTATGTAGAGAAAGCTGCATTTTACCTGTAAACATAAGGCTTTTTTCCTGAGAGCTCCTGACACAACTTTCAGACTTCCCATTATGCAATCTTTAGTCACTTCTCAGAGCAGAATTACATTTCAATCTTACCTTTCAAGAAAACATGCCATGCTTTGGCATGTAACAGTACAGTGAAATACCAACCAGGAGATAAAGAATCCATTAATCAGCTTTCATGCTCTCCTTGGCTACAAATACTACCACAGGGATGACCCTATGTACTCTGAAGTCCAGTGCATGCAGGAGGATGTTGGTTATTGGTAAGGTTTTTAGATTTTGGAGTCCCATTATGGCCTCTTATTTTTCCACTTGAGACTCAAACTTGTATTGACGCGGCTAACAGAGAGATAAGCAGCATTAGTACTGGATATGAACCTCGGCCTTACTATAGCAGCACATTTTAGCCTTCTTTTCACTGGCTCATTTTCTTAGCCAGTTCTTGAGGATGAAAATGTTGCTGTTCTTTGGTAGAGACAGAAATCTGTCAGCAGAGTTCACCTGTCCTAACACTGACATGTGAATAAATGGGAACATTTTCAGCCTCTTAAGCTCTGACCTGCTGCACGTACCAAAATGGTGATGTATCTTTGTACCATCTTTTTCCTTTTCCTCTCCCAGCAGGAAATTTTTCTCTCACCCCTTCAATCCCCACACGCACACACACATTCAGACAAACATTTAAGCCAAACCACCAGCAAGGAGAGTGTATGGGTGAGAGTCCATGGAACAACGTTCATTAGCACATCATTATGAAATTCTCAGGTTGTTTCTTTCAAAGAATATAAAGTTTAACACATTCTGTACATGTTGTTGGTTTCTTAGTTATAAAGTAAACACAGTAACAAACTGTCCATAAAGCATTGACTCGTTTTAAACACAGCCCCTTCTCGTTTTATCTTGCTCAAAGTCCTCTTCCAGTCAAAAACACTCAGGCGATGTACTGCAAGTGGGCATTCGGTGTATGACAGCAGAGGAAGGAAGAAAGAGGCACTTTTGATCGGCTGGTATTCTTGGACTTCCCTTTTTCCTGCGGAGGTTTATGTTCCTGACACTAGATGGTAGTGTTAGCACAGAAAACCGCTGTGGTTAGGCACTTGGCAACAAGGCTCCAAGGCAGTGCCCGCTCTCTGCTATGTCATCAGAATTGGTTTCTGCCGCGCTTCCAGGATATCTGGGCAAGGGAGAGAAAGAAAGAGATACAGCGAACTTAGAAAGATCCTGAAAGCTGCCACAGCACCAGAAAGCACGAAGAACCGGAGATGCAATTGCGGACTGCAGCACAGTCCCCCTTATCCTGCTACAGGAATTCAAAACACAATCAGTATGTGACTTTACCTATTAAAGTTCAACTTAATTCCTCCCCAGCTGCATCCTAGTTGAAAGATGGTAAGCCACAAATATATCCCATCATGTAGAGATGACAGCTGATTAATTAATTATCATTTTTAGTAGGATGAAACAACATGCATCAGACACTGTGGTGTAATCTTCCAGAGAAACAAGGGGAAGTGCCATTAGAGGGGATGCCAAGGGTTTTTCCTTTCTTGGAGAAATGCACCATTCCCAAGACCCTTAGAGAGACTTTTGGTTCAGAAGATATGGGTGCAAATAATTCAACTGTTTAATGCATTCTTATAGCTTGAAGCCTGTATTTCTGCACTCAAAAAACCTGCCATAAAGCCCACTCCTTTTGTTGGTTTCTCAGCTCTGTGTTGTCCAAATGTGACAGACTGTGAACCTGTAAATATCTGTCATAATCATGGGCATCTTTCCAAATGTGGACAGTAAATCCAGCGTGCTGGCACAGCAGTATGTAGGAGTATCTGGAAACTGGGTTGCTATGTCCTTTCCAAAGCTACACAGAGAACAAAGAGCATGGGAAAAGGGAGCACATGCTTAATTATGACTTAATTAAGAGGCTGTTCATACACAGCTGCACAAAAATTGATCCACAACTCCAGAGGGCTCCAGCCACACTTGTTAAGAAAGACACATAGTAGAGTGAACGCAGTAAAGGACCACAAAGAGCATTAAGGGATTGAATCATCTGACACAAGGAGAGGCTGACAGAAGTGTGATTATCTAGCATGAAGAGAAGGCTAAGAGCAGAGGAAGTCTTATCAGTATGTATAAACTCCAGACATTTTAAAACGTGCTTTAATCACTGCCACTGGGACTTAGTTTCTTAGTACAGGCCTCATAAATTACCCAAGGGAGATAAGCATCTTTCCCACTTTACCCTGCCCCAAGTGTAATGCTCCCACTTGCTAGAAAGCTTTCACTAGCACAAGTGTATTGATTCCAAAAAGGCACTACCCAATGTCCCAAGCTAAAGCAAACATAGGTAGTGAAAAACTGCAGATTAAAATTCTGCCTTACAGCCCAGACATTTTGTGTCCTATTTCTGTGCATCTCAATATATACACCAACTCCTGCAACCGTATGTTAAACAAATTAAGTCTCAGAAAGGATGTTCAAGCTCAAAGCAAATATTTGAGCATGGAGGCATTTATGCCACCCACTTAAGCAAGTATTAAATGCCAGCAGGAACAATACATCTTTTGTGAACTCCAGAATGCCTGTGGTGAGAGAATGAGTGAGCTTGATAACTCCAGCTAACTAGCTGCAAGATCATCAACACAATTATCATAAGGCATAATTGCATGTTTTGCTGAACCATTGTTCAAAATCCACCCTTAATTACAGAGGAGCAATTTTTACTGGAATCTGTAATTTCTTCTAAATGGAAATCAATCTCTACTTACAGTGAAAGGGCAAATGTAGAAACATCTCCTTGCTAATTATAATTTCCACCTTTACCTTACCAGCTATGATTTCCTTCTCTGCAGAGTAAAAGACAGTCTACTTTTGCAACAGGCTCTGAGGGCTGAGCCTGTAAATGGGGACAAGACTACTACAACCCCCTGTGTGGGAGGCGTCCCCCCTTTTTAGACCCACACAAGAAAAAGCAGGCACTGATCAAAAGCCCACAGCTCAGAAAAACCTATTCAGCAGTCACCCCATCTGCCAGACAGGAAGAAAAGAAAGAAGGTAAGTTCTTAGAGGAAACAACAATTCTAAGGATCTTCCAAGGTTAGAGACAGAACTTTACACTGAGCTGGAACCACAGCTTTATTCCAGGAGATTCCAACTTTATCCTGGTCTAGATTAAGGAGTTCAGCAATGGTTTTGCCTGAGATCAAACCTTCTTTCTGCCCGAGAAGATTATTATGTGTTTCCAGTAGTAGACACTAGCAATGTCTGTGTCAAAGAAATTGCTACTATGTTTAGACACAGGAGACAGTGCTTAACCACTGCTACTTTCTCAGTTTTCAGAATCATCTCAAGAGTTCCATAGGCATCTTAATTCTGCAAAGCTGGATTCTTTAAAAGCTAGCAGGCTTGCTGACTGATAAAGAGTTCAAGCAGACCAGTTGTTTTCTGTAGTCCACCTGTATTTGTAGGCCGTAAAGAGTTACTTGGATCAAAGTCAAAACTTCATTAACTGCCTGCAGATTGTAAAACCCAACTTACTCAGCTCAGCTGAACAAATGCAGAGTTGGCTTTCATCAGTGTAGTAACTGACATAGCTGGACCAACGACACAGGGGACTCTGATGATTCATGGTATGACACATCATTATGTCTAGTTAAAGACACTGGACACCTGACAGATTTACAGACATCTTGCCTAGCTCTGACCAGTCCAAGCAACTTAAACGAAACCAAATTTAAGAGTCAAAACTGGCAAAGGAGGTCACTCCAAATTCCAGAGCTGCCTTTCTGTAACTCGCAAGTCTGGCTACAGCTATTGATGTCAGTGGATAGCCTTACAACAAGTTGCATACACTCATGAGATGGATGAACTTCCCAGTATTAAAGCAACTAGTGTTCCTCTGGGTGTTTGTTAGTACAAACTACCAACTTGCCTGAACCATCACGGAGCAAAACTGGCCCACAGCCAGAGTACAAGCTGACACCCTTCTACTTGTTCATGCTGATTTGCTGATAGTCAGCAAACAAGGTTTGTTGTTTCCTTACAGAGAAATAGTTGTTTCTCTGTCTTAATAGCAGAATCCCCTGATACAGAAGACTGTCCAGGAACTAAAGGACTCTTTGCTTATGTGTAATACATGCTAAAAATCACCTGTTAAAATCCGATGCAATGGCAAAGTGATGTAAGTTAAGTGTGCATAGAGTAGAAAGTTTTCATCTGTTCTGTTCAGCTTCAGCCAGGAGCCCACCAGAGAGCGTCCTGTTCCAGATAAGGACCGCGACCTCAGATTCGTTGCATTGTGCAGATCTGTAAAGACAAAAGACAGCAAGTTCAAGGCGATTGTTGTACTTCCTCTGTTTCATTGGAACACTCCTGAAAGTCAAGTAAAAAAAAGGAAGACAAAAGGAAAGCCTGCTATTCATTGTCTAGGGGTAAGTCACATGCAGGACACTACTATTACTATTCTTTTTACTGGCCAGGTCTTGTCTAACACAGAATTCACTATTTACAACTGAAGCTAATGAATGGTATTAGCAGCTGGCAGCATTTGTAAGCAGCCAGGAGAGGGAATGAAGCCTTTGCTGCCACATTGCATAAGCAGAATCCTAACCCAAACACAAAATAATAGAATATTCCTAAAACTAAGAAGTTACTCATGTAACAAGTGTTAACAGAAGAAAAATTGTTTCTGATGAAGAAAATTGACGTCTACCAGATAGGGGAGAGTCAGCATTAATATGCCCTCAGCCAAACCTGGTACACTCAGCAGTGCCATTCTTCTCACGATTAGAAGTCCCCAAGTAACTTTTAAACAAAAGGATACCAAGTCCACTGTCAGCTAGAGACATGTTTTATACCTGCAGGTCTCTCCCACAGCCAGGAATGCATATACTGCATTTTTTGAGTGTTTCTGAACTTCCCCTTCATTCCCACAAAAAAATAAGCCCTGTCCCACAGTGCTAAAAACAAATGCTGAAGTGAACGGAGCAATTCTGGACAAGAGTGATCCAAGCTCTGGGATTAATTTGTTTAAAAGGAGGTCATGATCCAAACAAAGCGGTCCTAGCAAAGGAAGAATACGTAACAGCAGCTACTCTAGCAAGATGCAAAACAGTGTGAGAGGAAGGAGGCTATTCCCTCTCCCCACACATTACCACTATGCCAAGAGCATTGGCGTTATCAGGTCAGAAGAACCTGACTCTGGTAGCTACGATAATTCCTCTTGCTGTTTCACACTTGCACACAGCGGAAGTAAGCAAAGTGGGTCCTCATGGGCTGTTCCTGTCCACAACGGGTCTGTCTGCACTGGAGGCAGCACCAAGAACGCTTATTTTTCACCTTTCATGAAATTCATCAGTGGGATCTGTGCCCTCTCCAGACAAGTCTGTTTAGCTGATACTACTCTCACCTCCACCATCATCATCTCTGAAGAACTCCTCACTGTCATTTGCCGAGTGGGATTTTTTCATCTCGGCAATTCGATTTCGGGGCACTTTTCTCTTGAGGGATGGGGAGAAAAAGGATGGGCGATTGTTGCGTTCTGGGGTTGGCGGCGTGCTGAAAGAAGTGACCTGAAAGGGAAATAAAACAAATGCTAGAGGAAGTTCTGTTTGAAAACTTCTAATGCTTCTAGTAAGAAATAAGCAGTCTCAAGTATGTGCCACGAGGCAATGATATGTGTAAAAATAAGAATTGTGACTGTCATCTAGCTGTAAGGTTTATCAGCGTGGCCAGAAAATGTCAACTGAAGAGTCATCTCAGCTTCGAGATGCTCATCAAGATGAAAATCTTTTGATGTATCATCGACCTCCACTGTTATAAAGCCTCTCCTGTGCTGATAACTTTTAAGAATTTATAGTCATGAAAGAAGAAAATTAATAATTTAGGCACCAGGAATGTCAATTTTATTTTTGCATGCTGAAATTCAGGAAACTTAATGTATTGCACACACTAAAATTGCGCATCTTCATTTCTTTGGCAAACACAAGGTAGTAGTTTCCCTGTTAGAAGGATGTCACATGGGATCCCTGTGAAAGGTCACAGCGTCTCTATGAGGCAGGGTCACAAGGCAATTACATAGCCCAAGATCCTGACACAAAAGTGAAGTCAATGCACAATTACATGTATATCATATTTCAATAGAGGATGGGAAAAACAAGTGGAGATGCCCCTGATGATTTGGTTAGTTCAAGTGATGACTAACACAAGTATATAATTGTCTATGGTAAAACACAGATTAGGGATGAAACTATAAAGACACCCTTCCTTCAAAGCAGTAGTTGCTCTTGAGTAAACCACAATTATAGTCAACCATACTTGTTTCAGAAAGAATTGAAATGTAGTGCTTTTATACTGGTTTTGCTAGTAATATTTTAGTTTCATCTCAAAAAAATAAATAGGGATATCTACTTTGCCAATTGAAGTAATTTCTATCTCATCTTTCTTTCTTCACAGTTAATTTCACAATCCTATAGCTGTCCCTGAGGTGACACCTGATACTGCTCATCTCTGTCCATACAAATAAAGAGGGAGATGACATGTGAGGATGACAGGCAAACAGGTTGCTGTTGCACTGCAGAAAAACACTGTGTTGTCCCTCTATCGTTACTGCTAAAAAAAAGCAGAAGCATTCTACCACCCAAGTAATCCTCTCTTTAGTGCAGTTTTTTAATTCTGTAGCCATTTCATATCACACCTGGAGGGAAAACCAGAAACATACAAATCGCCATTAAAACCATTAGCCAAAAGCTGCAATCATCCATTATCAAATCTATTGTGACATTTTCCAGTTGACACTTGAATTCTTGGAGCCAAAAGTTCAGGAAGTCCCTCCAGGCTTGATCTCTCCTGGCTGTATCTCTACGGTAGAAAGCAAGCACATCTAGTTAACGAGCTCTGTGCTGGCAGCTCATTTTGCCTCCTAGGAAGCCAGAAACAAAAATCATACAGCTGTATAGAGACATTCAGGAGTCCTGCAGACCTTTAAATTACTTAACTTAGCTATTGCATACACAGGAAACTATACTAGAATCCATCAGGAACTACCCATCCCAGGTCAGGACGTATCTGTGTAGGTATTTTGAAAACTCTGCCTAATCCCCATTAATGAAGTAAAATGCCTCTATGGAAAATACACAGGACTGAATAATGGTGAAATCAGCATCTATGGACTGATTCTATTGCCATTTTACTCCAGTTGCATTAAAATTAAGCAAAAATATGGCACTACCTCTAAATCTGTACTCTTTGCTTTAATTTCATACAGGCTTCCCGTTGGCAGCATTCATCACTGACAAAGTCTAACAGTACCATTTCCTGTGAAAGTTAGAAAGCAAACTACGTAATACACAAATTCTACGTTTCTAGGTAAATCCCATCTTGTACAGAAATGGAATATATTAATTTTCATAGAAAACAGGCAGAATCATCATCTTCCCTGGCATCAACATCGCTGTTGTTTCAACAAAACACTCCTCCAGAAGTATGAATCATCCAGTCATCTCTGTATTTAGCATGTGCTCAAGGAAAAATGAGCTAAAAATTCATCTGCATATACTGAGCGTGTTCAAAATACACACAGGGAAACCCAAGTTTAGAACCCTGATGTAAGTTAATCCCCGCTTCAGTCTGTCTACTGGCTTTGGAACAAAATATGTTCATGTTTAACCTTAAGTCAGTATTTCCATGCGCTACTTACTCTCTCATGCACTGGGGATTCTGGATTTGAATCTTCTTCTGTCCCATATGGTGAAGTGTCACCAGTAGAAACTCTACTCACTGCCATCTCTGCATGTCCTTTCCCTTGTGGCCCTTTCATTCGGACAAACTCCATGTTGTTGTATTTATAAAAGCCAAAAGACATTCTTTGAGCCATCTTAGCTGCAACACTCACCTACAATGCATCAAGACAGGAGAGGAAGAACATGTAACATCGCCTCCATGTTTCAAAGAAAAGAAAAAAAAAAGAATGTTATCAAAGTTATCTAACAGTAAGTAAAAAACATAGTGAAAGTCAAAAACATAGTGGATAATGATCATTATCTGGATCCTTGAAAAGCATGTTAAGCACAATCTGAAGTGATGTCCAAAGGGAAAGCGATCTTACAGATACAAAACAGAGGCTCAGAAAAAAATCAACTCCTTCAGCTACCCAAAAAACAGAGTTACCCAGTGGCACCCCGAGATAAAACAAAAACGTTTTTATCCAGACCCACACAACATGCCACACCAGATCACAAGAAGCCACATGCACAATTCAACACAGCCTGTATAGGGACACTCATTTGAGTCCAAAATGCAATAGGCATACACACACAATGCTTCAAACTAGCAAAGTGCACTGCACAATTCTGGCAGTATGTGGTGGCAAGTGGATTCGGGCATTTGTGCGTCCACATTGTCAAGGCCTAAGCTTGAAGAACCAACCTCCATGTACAACTAACCTGCATTGCACTGTTCGCCTCAAAACCCTGACAGCTTTTGAACCCTCTCAACAGACAGAAGGGCTCAATTTCCAGTTAACACAACTGCACTGAAAACTGAACTGAGAATGGAAAAAAGGAACAAACTGATATAAAAACAGTCAAGATTTTACCAAGTGAAACAAGTAGGACTTAACCATAAATTTAAGTGGCTTATCACAACTTTCAGCAGTTTATAGCCTGAAAAGGCCAAGATGCTCATCATGTAACACAAATTTTATTGCACTAAGAATTACAGAATCATTTAGGTTGGATAAGCCGTCTAAGATCATGTAGTCCAACTGCTATCCCATTACTGCCAAGTCCACCACAAAAACATGTCCCTAAGGGCCACATCTACATGTCTTTTAAATACCTGCAGGGATGGCAATTCCATCACTTCCCCAGGCAGCCTGGTCCAGTGCTTGACACCCCTTGTGGTGAAGAAATTCTTCCTAAAACCCAATCTAAACCTCCCCTGATACAAAGAAAACCAAGTAACCTTCAACAGCATAGAAAGACTGCTTCTGTTCTGTCAAAAGAAGGGTCAAATTTCAATTTTTACCTTTGGCCTTAACTGAGTATTTGAAGTGATAACAATGTAAAATAGCTGTGTGGTCAAACAGGCATTCCTAGGTTAATAGGTGACTTTGACACATCAAATCCTGTCTTTCCACTACAGGGCTTTCTTCTTACATTGCCTTCAGTGCTTCTGCATTTCTCACATATTTTCATAAGACAGTGGTGGGACAGAGAAACAATTCCAGTTTCATGTTCCCTCAAAAAACTTCTAGAAGAGAGTGATTACTCACATTTAAAGATAAAGGGAATTATTCAGGAATTGTCCTGACAAGGGTAGGAACAAAGGGAAATGAAGTTTACAATCACAGTAGATACTGTGGGGATTTTTTTGTTCTAAACCTCTCAGGGCTGTCTTCATAACAGAGAAGTTTATTGGCTTTTCCACTCTCTTGACCTCAGCCTAAGTACTGAATTTGGAGCCAGAAGTGCTGGCATTTCATGTTTCTGTAGGAAAGCAAGGAAAGCTTCTTTGTGTGTCAGTGAAAGTACAGTGGTCTTCTGAAAACAGCTGTTAAGTACAAAACGCACTAAAGAAAAACACATTTTACATAAACTCTGATAACTACCTTGCTCTAAGCTCTCCATGCAAAACACACCTCTGAACTAACTAGAAATATCTGTGACCTTTCACAAAAATGAAGGGGCACCCAGAACAATGTTATTCTGACGCATTCCTGTGTCACATTCTTGACTGCTTATTAACTTCACTACTTCATTCCTTTTGGCAAACTCCAGAGTAATATATCCTGATCTGAATACTCTCAGCTGTCTGAGCCAAAAGCCTTACTTTTCAGTTAACTTTCGAAGCCAAGAAAGACAGACTACAATGCAGACGATAAACAGGACAAAAAGCTAACATACGCAGCAGCAAAGAAAAACTGGTCAGAGTATCATTACTGCCAAGGACGCTGGTTTTCAGAAACATCTTACCCTGTTGTCATAGACCTTCTTGAGTGCTTCATAGCGAATAGACCCCTGAAAAATCACCCCTTGGAAAGTGTTTGTTTTGTCACTGGCCACCAGCTCCACACAGACCATTTCTCCTTCTCCCACAGTCATGTCGCTGAAAACCTGCCAAAGATGCAAGATGAAACACTTCAAGGCAAACTGCAGCTGTTAAAGTTCAAATATATTCAGATTCCCAGGATTCCCCTTAGGCCTAAAGCAGTTTCAACATAAATGGCAGAAAGCAAGGGAGCTGTATGCTCCACCCCAGCCTTTCAAAAAAAAACAGACTTCAGGCAGTGCACACTGCAAATCATGTGTTGAGATAAGCAGCTCTCAAATTAGCCTGTCTTGCTTCAGTTCACCCTAAAGACAGATGCCAAAATCCAGCTTTAACCTCAGATGTCAAACATTAAAGAAACAGGAAGATCAAATAAAATAAGAACTACCAGAAGATAAGCTCAATTAGCCAAAAGCATTTGTTCAAAAGGTACAAGAAAACAGCTGACTGGGGCAGAAGACTGGATAGGACAAAACTCCACTGCTGCAACGAGGAACTCACCTCTTCAAAGCTGTCAATCATGAAGAATATGTTGGGGTAGCTGATTTTTGACTCCTCTCCTTTACTGTCCATTGGGTGTTTGCTAGGAGATGCAAACACTTGCTGAGAAAGATACAGGGGAAAAAATACATCTCAATTAAATGTACTCAGGAATGAACACACTGGACAGAAGGCAAGTAATACCAAAACACAGTCCCACACTGCTCAGTCAGCCAATATTTTCACTTACACTAGAGATGCTGGACATCCTGCAGGCAAAACTGAGCTGGTTTCTGACTACAGCCTGTTTTGCAATAGTGACTAAACTTGTGAAATCCTTGAATTTTCACATGCAAGTTATCAAATACCAGTTGTTCCACAACAAATGTCCCTGTGGGTACCTCACCTCTCACCATCCCATGGAACAGCTAAGGTATCCGCCTTTTCATTAACAGAGAAAACCACCATGAGCTGTCTGTAAGTTACTGCAATGTGCTGCAAAATAAGAGCACACACACCAAGAAAGTTGCTGTGGAGTAGCTGACCTAGCACTATTTGCTTATACAGTTAATTTCATTGTTACTGTTTCCTTAGTACCACAATGAGATCAACATCACTCAGTAATGAGAAGCACAGCCCTCAGCAAGACAAGCATTTGATTTCTCAGCCTCATCTTCTGCTTCTGTTTCTTTCTCTATCCACTGTGCTTCCTCTTGCATGTTCCTCCCTTTGAAGCAGTTCCTGAACTCCTTTGGTCACTTCACTTCTCAAAACAACCTGTGTTTAAATAGCTAAAGGCTTTACATTTTATCCTTCCAACAAGATTAACAAGCAGGTAAAGAGGAAGAATTCATACCAGGTAGCTTTCTTTCCTTCCACTTCTATTTGAAACAAAGTTTTGAATTAAAGAACCTGTCAAATCTCAGTACGTTGTGAATGTGCCCAGATTGTCAGGCTTATCATCCCCTTGCTACAAACCACTCCACGCAAGCTCATGAGAAATTGCCTTTCCTTATTTGTACTTATGAAGCCTACATGCACATTTAAATATAGGTTATTAAGAAGAAAGGTTCCTTCATGACAAGAAACAACATTAGATAGCAACAAGTTTCTGGTTGCACACCTTAGGTACTCTACTGGTATGAACAAAATACGTTTTGTCATAGGTCTGCAGTAGCACACCAAGTCCTATGCCTGAATAGGACTTGCTCTCCTAGGGCTTCTACCTGTTGAACACCTGGCTGCACACTGACAGGATAATAAATGCTTTCTAAAGCAAGAACAACCAGAGCAGTAATACAGGTCCAAAAGAGTTGGGTTTTGTTCATTTAAAGCTGAGCCTCAATGGTGCATGTTACAATGAGATGCTCTACTGCAAACATGCTTTCCACAGTATATAGAATTGCCTTTTCTCTCTCCATAGATCAGCTTCATGATCCTGAAATATTACTAATATGTACTGGTAAGTTCCAATGTGTGCTGAGTTTCTCCCAGAAAAGGGAAGACAAAAATTCAGAAGCAGTCCCACAGTCCCACATTCCTCTAGGAATGAGGAACAGAAAACTTCTTACTCTGAACAATGCTCATAGGCAGTGAGGGCAGGTCCCGCATCTTCCTGGTTTTCAAATCTTCACTTTAAAGATTCTTCTCAAAAAAATTTTGCAGAAGTTAGCTGGGGGTGTTTCCACTAGCAAACAGTGGAAAAAGCAATGAGAAATAAAAGGCCTACATCAGTGTTGTAATGTGGTGTCTCAACAGCACAAGGAGAATTACCTAACTAATGCAGATTGCACATACAATAACCAGTGTTGCTAGTTTTGTTTGTAGGCAAAGCAATGCTTGTTTCAAAATGGTAAAACAAAATTAAAGGATTAAAGATCATTGGCTTATTTTGGGTAAAGCCATGCAAGCATCTGAATGAGCTAAAGGAATGGAAATGTCTGGGAGGAACAGCCTTTTAAAGGCAGCGGAAGCCTTCAAAAAAAGGATTTCTACCAACTAAGAGAAGTTATTGCAAGATCTGCTGGAAACTGATTGAAAAAGTCCAGTGTTTCTTGTTCCTATTCCTTCTGTGCTTATAATTCAGTCTCCTCCACTATATTAAACCCTGGATTAACTGTATGCTGCACAGAAACAAATTATATAAGCCTTTGGCATGGAAACAGTAGGAATGAGCAATTTTAGAGAGGAAACAAGATTCTCAAAGTAATAAAAAGATAAACTGATAATCAGTAAATTGTCTACCATTTAAAAGCCCTGTATTACAGATACACCCTGAAGGATTCTCGTAACTCTGGTCTCATAAAATTTCAGGTTTACCCTCTGACTGGTTAATAGGGCATACTCCTCCCTCAGTACACACACTCTCCATCCTCCACCCAAAATCCTGTAGGCAGAGATTATAAATCCTGAAAACATGCAGAGGTCTTTATAACGTTTCGAGTGGGGCTATAGAGGAGATTTAGATGCCTGTCAGGAAATATTACTAAAGAAAGACTGGAGATGCTTCACAAGAATGCAGCTGTCAGATACCAGACTGAGAAGCACAGCTCTGGTTTTGATATGATTTTTAGGATTAAGTAATATTGCATGCCAACTTCTTATCTACAGTAATAATACAGTAATCTCACCTGAGATTTCTTCTTGTGAATATGAATATCTCCTCCATCAGAACGCGTGCACACAGCACATGTCACTACATAATCCAACTATAACAGAGCACCAGATAGAGAAATAAAGGTTTAGTTAGAAAAACAAAGCATTCATGTCTGTGAAGCAGAAGACATTCCCTCTTCATTATTTTTTAGCTGTTTGGCTAAAAACCAAGACATTTTGATATTTTAATTTTCTTTATTCTCTTCACTATACTGAAACTCCTACAATTTTCAAGCCTGTATTAACTCAGTGATACTGAATTTTTTTGCACAGATGCTGCTGAAGTGCACAACCTGCAGCTAAAGAAACTTTTGTGAATACTGTTTTAACACTGGCTTACTGGGTCAGCTAGAGGAATAAGCATCTCACACACACATACACACACACACACACAAGCACATTTTAAAGTAGAAATGGAAAAGATAACCTCCCTTCAAAAAGGGAAAACCAGAAACACTAATGAACACAAGCAACACATTAGAGAGGTCAGAAACCATTAAGGTAGCCTGCCAAGCCATCTGAAAACACATGTAAGGAGCAAGTGTAATAGCTCTGGACAGCAATGTCTAGCTGTAGCAGCATCTCTGAATTCTGACTGTAGCAAATGGATTCTGGTTTTATTGAGCAAATAATGGTGGAAGCTGCCCTGATGCAGTGAAGTTCTGCAATGAGACTTTTGGGAGGAAGCAGAGAGAATGAAAACAATTTATTTTCCAGGATGTGTGCAATGAGCCAGCAGTCTCTTCTGAGATCATCATCAACAGAACTTTTAAGGGATCTCAAATGACTGTATGAACATTCAGCTTCCCTAAGCACCAATGTAACATGTAATAACTAAACAACCTATGAGTTAATTAAGGAAATGATTTGTGTTAGCTTCATATTTCCAGCGACAACAACGAAAGTTTTATTAAAGCTCTAATAAAGAGCAGCAAAATCCCCGTGTAATGCACAGAACCTTTATTGCACTTCCACCTAGCAGTTCCCCCTCTTAAGCTGCATCAGTACTGTGAACTCTAACAGAAATGTGGCTTGTCTAACAGTCTCATTAACTCTCAAAAGCTATCAAACTTGACAAAGCCTTCCATTTTGCAAAACTTCATTCCAGGGCATAAAATTCAGCCCAACTTTATTGGATATATTTAGTTTTTGAGGGAAGCTGTTAAGGCTCTACTGAAAAATAGCGAACAACTCAGGTCCTGTTCATTTAGACTCTGAAAGGCAAAATTAAAGCCATGTTTTCTTTATATGCCCCAGAAGTACTCAAATCCCTCAAGCTAGGGAGGACAGGAGACCTACCAAAGCTTACCCTGAAACCTCTCCAGCATAAATAGCCAATAAAAATTAGATAAGCATCACTGTTACCTTCTGCAGGATGAGATTCAAGTAGACACTCTCTTCCCAGTCAATGTCAGGGTCGCCCAGGCCAGGAAGCTTCTTAGAATCTCTCCGGTAAACTTCAACTTCAACCTGCTAAGAAAATATCACAAATCCTTGAAAGATATTACTTAAAGATACCTATATGCGAACATAAATTGACACCAGAATCTGCATGTTGTGGAGCTTCCAGCTATGTTTTTCTGTCAGAATAAGATTTTGCTGACGATGCAAGGTCAGCCCTCGTGGAAGGCTTTGTGTGGAAGCAAAGCTGAGGATGTGAAGGGGATGTGAAGAACAGGTGAGAAAGGCAGGTCTGTGCAGGGGAATCTCAGTTATGTACAGCAGCTTCATTTATTTCTCAATGCAGGTATGTTTTAGCAAACATTAAATTAATAAAATCAGGGATACACACACATACGTATTTTTCTTACCACAAGCCCTTGGAAATGAACATGTCACTAGATTAATGTTCAACATCATCTAGCAGGTAGCTGTTGCATGTTCCCCATTGGGATGGGAATCTCTGGGAAGACAAAGTCCACTAATTAATGCCTCGCAGAGAACATTTTGGTAACCCTTCTGTATTGGGTTTAAGTGGCAAGGTTTTGGTAGCAGGGGGCTCCAAGGCTGGCTTCTGTGAGAAGCTGCTAGAAGCTTCCCCTTTGTCTGATAGAGCCAATGCCAGCAGCTCCAAGATGGAGCCATTGCTGGCCAAGGCTGAGCCCATCAGCAATGATAGTACCACCACTGGGATAATGTGTTTAAGAAGGGGGAAAACTGCACCAGTGCAGCCAGAGATAGGGGTGTGAATGTGAGAAACAACTCTGCAGACACCAAGGCCAGTGAAGAAGGAGAAAGTGCTCCAGGCACCAGAACAGATTCCCCTGCAGCTCACGGTGCAGACCATGGAGAGCTAGCACACTTAACAGATGTCAAAGCTATAAACTATATTGACATAATACCTCAAAAAGCATTTTTTCTCTGTGTTTATGAATACTGCGAGAAGTTGACAAAGCTGTAAGCAGGCAATTCATGAAACTTTTTTTGGCTTTGGTCAGGGCAGAGAATGAAGGGTAGTGCTCATCTGCTAGAAAACAGATCGTCACAGAAGTCAGAATATGTGAAAGAAACCAGAGTAAGATTCAGCCTTATAGCAAGTGTGCATTTATTTCAACTCCTCTGGAAAGACCAAAATATAGGGAAGAACAGTTAAACAGTATTTTGAGACTGACACTATCATCAGATACCAGATAGCCAAACACAGTGTTTTCTATAATGCATTATTTTTAATTCACAAATATCTGTTTAAAATGTCTATAGGCTCATACATCATTATTCCTTTATTTATTTTTAAAGCTCCTAACCATTATTTTTTTTATTGGCAACAAAATTGCACAAACTAACGAGAATTACCACAAAAAGCTAATACATCTTTCCCAGCTGAAGGAAAGAGTCCAATCTAAATTCATCACCTAATAAACAAAGGTGGTATTTGCGCTTTCATGCCTAAAAGCACAGAAACATCACATTTGCAAGATTCCAGAAATACCCTGTGAAACAAAAGCCTTCCCTGTCTCTGAAGACACAGCGGGAGGATCAGGTAAAGGCAAGACTGAGTAACTGCAGGGTGCAACTCCAGCCCTAAGGTCAGGGTAAGCAAGACCAAGTGCTCAGCAGACACCACCTCCCTCTCTTCTGCCTCCATATCCATGGAACCTTTCTTTTAATGCAGGCAGTTTAATTGCTTCCTAACAATAAAGTTAAAATTTTTGCAGGAATCAGCCACTAATTTTTTCTGCTGGTGAAATCCGCACACTGAACTACTTCTCCCCAGCAATTAGAAAGCTGTTGAACAACAACTCTTCCACAGAATGCCTCACAACCCTGTCACAAGTAACAGCAGAAAAAGTGCCCTTCTTCAATCAATTTTTCCCTATGCACTAATTTACAGTAGGATTCCTGGGTGATACAACCTGGGAGTTAGGGCATGGTGGACTGTGAATCACCACCATGGCTTTTCTCCAAACCAAGTGCTTAAGTCACACTCTATTACAAAGGAAAATAATTTAGGCAATTTAAGGAATTCAATCTTTTTTGCTGGGCAATTAAACAGCACAAGGTATAAATCTCTTATTCAACAGGTTAAATCAGGCACGACAGGAGTGCCCTCTTCCCAGAAAGGAGCCGTAAGCAGCCAGATGCAACAGAGGCAGCACTCATCAGACCTCAGACAGACAGTAAATGGGACTTCCAAATGCTATGGCTCTGGCATCTGCTGGACATGTTTTGCAGCTCCTGCTCATGCCCAGGTAAGCATCCTTGGTAAGCACCGGAGGAATGAATCAGCCTTACTTTCAACACCATCGAAGGATCTGCTTTATAAAACCCAATGAGCCCCCACCAGGATGCTCTAATAAGCAACACAACTGCTCCCTACCTGACTATGCTTCAGAGTGCAAGCACCTAAATTACAAATCACCTTTGAAAAAAAATCTCACCCCTTATCTCTCATAAACACCTTTATCTGCAACATCTGTCACTCGTTTCTAAACAATTCTTCCAAATATAGAAAAGGTATCCATAATGCATCTCGGCACTTTCCAGGGGCTCAACTCCCCATGCAAGTGCTCTAGGTCACAAGTTAATCTCAGCTACCCTCTACTGCCATGGTGCTGGATATGTAAAGGTGGCCATGCAATATAACGTGAAATAAATCAATAGGTTCAGTTCAAACCTGAGCAAATAAACCCGCTGTCACTGGCACACTGTGGAGTCTCAGGCAGGGCCAGGGACATAGGAAGAACCAGGGCTGACTCAATTCAGACCCTCCAGCATTAGTCAGTAAAGGAGGCATCCAAATAAATCATTAAAAATAAAATTAAAAAAAATCTCACGCAAACAACTTTAACCACAGATTTTCAGCATTCTATACACCTTAATCACTAGTGTTTAAATCAGCAATCTAAATTTCTTGGTAGGCTGACCTAATTCATAGAATCATAGAATAGTTAGAGTTGGAAAGGACCTTAAGATCATGAAGTTCCAAACCCCCTGCTATGGGCAGGGACACCTCACACTAAACCATCTTACCCAAGGATTCGTCCAACTTGGTCTTGAACACTGCTAGGGATGAAGCATTCACAACCTCCCTGGGCAACCTATTCCAGTGCCTCACCACCCTAACAGGAAAGAATTTCCTCCTTATATCCAATATAAACTTCTCCTGTTTAAGTTTTAACCCATTACCCCTTGTCCTATCACTACAGTCCCTAATGAAGAGTCACTCCCCAGCACCCCTATAGGCCCCCTTCAGATACTGGAAGGCTGCTATGAGGTCTCCACACAGCCTTCTCCAGGCTGAACAGCCCCGATTTTCTCAGCTTATCTTCATACGGGAGGTGCTCCAGTCCCCTCATCATCCTTGTGGCCCTCCTCTGGACTTGTTCCAACAGTTCCACGTCCTTTTTATGTTGAGGACACCAGAGCTGCACACAATACTCCAAGTGAGGTCTCACGAGAGCAGAGTAAAGGGGCAGGATCACCTCCTTCGACCTGCTGGTCACACTCCTTTTGATGCAGCCCAGGATACAGTTGGCTTTCTGGGCTTCAAGCACACACTGCTGGCTCATGTTCATTTTCTCATTGACCAGCAACCCAAATCCTTCTCCACAGAGCTGCTCTGAATCTCTTCTCTGCCCAACCTGTAGCTGTGCCTGGGATTGCTCAGACCCAGATGTAGGACCTTGCACTTGGCATGGTTAAACTTCATGAGGTTGGCATCAGCCCACATCACAAGCGTGTCAAGGTCCCTCTGGATGGCATTCCTTCCCTCCAGCGTATCAACCGAACCACACAGCTTGGTGTCATCGGCAAACTTGCTGAGGGCGCACTCAATCCCACTGTCCATGTCAGCAACGAAGATGTTAAACAAGACTGGTCCCAACACCGATCCCTGAGGGACACCACTCGTTACAGGTCTCCAGCCGGACATTGAGCCATTGACCACAACTCTTTGTGTGCAACCATCCAGCCAGTTCTTTATCCACCGAGTTGTCCATTCATCAAATTGATGTCTCTCCAATTTAGAGACAGGGATGTTGTGTGGGACAGTGTCGAACCCTTTGCACAAGTGCAGGTAGATGACATCAGCTGCTCTACCGCTGTCCATCAGTTCTGTAGCGCCATCATAGAAGGTCACCAAATTGGTCAGGCAGGATTTCCTCTTAGCGAAGCCATGCTGGCTATCACCAAGCACCTTGTTGTTTTCCATGTGCCTTAGCATGCCTGCCAGGAGAATCTGCTCCAAGAATTTGCCAGGCACAGAGGTGAGACTGACTGGTCTGTAATCCCCCAGGTCATCCATTTTCCCCTTCTTGAAAGCAGCTCCTTACCCATCCAAGGAGGTCTCCTGGCCCTCCTGCTGCACTTCCTTCTAGTTGGGATGCAACACTCCTGAGCTTGTAGCAGGTGATCCTTGAATATCAACCAAGAGTCTTGGGCCCCCCTGCCCTCTAGGGCTATACCCCATGGAACCTTACTAAGCAGGCTCCTGAAGAGGCCAAAGTCTGCTCTTTTGAAGTCCAGGGCAGTGAGCTTGCTGCACGCTCTTCTCACTGTCTTGAGGATCTCAAATTCCACCATCTCATGATTGCTGCATCCAAGGCTGCCCTGGAGCGTCACATTTCCAATGAGCCCTTCCCTGTTGGTGAGCACAAGGCCAAGCATGGCACCTCTCCTTGTCAGCTCCTCTATTACTTGCAGAAGGAAGTTGTCTTCCACACAATCAAGGAACCTCCTGGATTGCTTGTGCCAGGCCATACCGTCATTCCAACAGATGTGAGGGTGGTTGAAGGCACCCATGAGAACAAGGGCCTCTGAGCGTGAGGCTTTTCCTATCTGTCTATAGAGTGCTTCATCCGCAGGATCTTCTTTATCAGGTGGCCTGTAGCAGATCCCCGCAGTAATGTCTCCCATAGCTGTTTTCCCTTTAACCCTGACACACAAACTCTCTGTTAACTGCTCACCTGTCCCCAGAGTTCCATACTCTCCAGCCTATCCCTAACATAAAGGGGAACTGCCCCTCCTCGCCTGCC